TTACTCCTTTATGCTTTTATGGTCACTATTATTCCGGTCAGCTAAACGACGACAGGTAACTCAAGATTGCAGTTACCCGGACATGAGGTGTGAAACCACTCTGGCGGTATAGGGTGGTCACGAATGAGATTTCTGGCACAAGTTCCGGATTCAATGCCCGCGCTGAATAGAACTAACAAAAACTGTCCACTTTCACTAGCGAGTATAACCATTCCCGTGTTCCTAGCACCCAGCGCCGCAAGAACTTTGACATTTGCTGACTAGTACTAATTTGGCCTAAAATGGAAAACGAAAACATGTTATTTAACACGCCTTTGTTTTGCTTAAACAATTCAGGTCTCGTGTACCATGACCCGACCGTGCATCGAGAAAGCACAGAAAAAGGTGAAATGCCACTTAGTTCGAGCAAAACCCATTCAGTTAATTACAACTACGTGACCCAGTATCACAAGCAGTTCTTTGCACACAAAAGCAAACCGCGGGCCGATTATTACGTAGCTGGTCATAAATATGCTGGCAAAAGTTGGAAGCATTAAATTTCTCAGTTGTGATATTTTTACACTGGAAAAACTTGGCGTTTCAGTTTCATTTTGTACAACCCTTAGACATGCATTTTCCTGCGGCAGCTTGGGTTGTTGTCTTTTGACTGCCTTCTTAGACGAACCGGTGGAAGGATGCTTGAACGGTTGAAAACAGTATGAAGATTAATGTCACAAAGAGACTGAGTGAATGCACGAGTCATATCACTCAGTAACTCTGACCATCGATTCCAATGACCACGAGGTACTCATCTAGGAAGCCCAATGTGCGCAAGTATCTCAGTCAAGGTTTTGACACATTCCTGCCTTGGTTTAAGCACCCGTCACGTTTTCCCATCCATCACCTCCCTCGGCAAACAGCACACGCTGTGATAATCCATTTGATGCGGTGCGCAACACATGTACAAACCAACGTAATCTATGCAGATCAAGCACTTACTCCACTGGGCGACCGCAGATGCCTAAACGTTTGCGCGTAACCTCAGCACTGCGTGTCCGGTTATCCCACCAAACGTGTGCAAAGTGGGGTACGAAGTAATGTCCGAACACGGACAGTCTGTGTTTATCTTGTTTTCTTAATGGTCAAGCCTCTGCGCCACATAGCTGCACTGGCTGAACTGCTGCAGCGTATACTCGACCCTTCGCGGACAATCGGATGCCGCCTCAAATTGAAAACTGCCCATGAAGCTTTTTGTATGCTACCAAAACCTCATCCGAGCTGCGTCCGCGGGGTGAGGTAGCTCCTAAAATAACAAAATGTGTTCCATATATCTGTTACATCCCGGTTAGGGCGACGCTAAGAGCTGAACCAGCCCAGTCGCGTAACAACATATTACACATGCCGAACACAGCTACACTAGCACAGTACAGAAAAGCTTGCCGCGATTTTATATTGCAACTGTCGTATGCGAACTAGTCCTTTATTCGTTGTCTACGCCTCGTTATTCCTCTGAAGACCAAGTGTGTTCAGGAAATGCAGCAATCAGGAACTCAGATCCGAATACCTTAGGATAGTTCATCGTTTGTTCTAGAGATTACCTGTGATCTCCCAGATAAGTTACAAATGAATTTCCCCAATTTTCTGGATTCGCGAAGCAGCCGTATGGTTCTACAATGTGGCTGATCAATGTATTTCTTCACCACACAATTAAATATGCACATCGCTCCGCTCCAGTAAAAGATATGTTTTAAACATTTCCCAAAGACTTATCAGCAACCATTTAAAATCACCGCAGTTTCTCCACGGCTTTGTTTACGACCCAAGAAGTGTTTTCCTGGAGTGTCTCTTAAGGCTAGGACGTTTCTCTCTGCTTTCTCCTAGTAGGGTGTTATCACTAGTGAGGGTAAAAAGTCGAAATTCGGATCGACGAACCACGGGTCAGCCAAGGGACCTGCAAACCTTTGATTCTATATCCACCCATGGACTCTATGAGATGCTGAATGCGACGGATATCAGTTTCAGCGGATCAAACCCGGGACTCTGTTAGTAGCACGAAAGCATACTAGAAAGGAAGTAATGTATTCTTTTTCTTTTGTTTATGGCACTTTTTCACTGGAACTAGGCAACCTCGTATATAGTATAACATGAAGTATAAAACTACGCATCTTGACTTGACACAAACGCAACTCCCCCCCCCCGGTGAACCTGGAAAATCGTAATCCCGTAAACCAAGTGAGCGCCGAAGCGGATGGTAAAAAGGCTTTATACAGGTTCATTCTTATACAAAACACACAAAACAGCCGATTTGTGTGTGCACTGGATGGGCCGGGGCGAGGGAGAAAGGAGAGGCCATTACTTTTTCGCAAATGTGATTTCCATCGCATGGGTCGGAGTCAGTTTGAATCCGTCGTAGGCCGAACGAGCCGCGGCAGCTTGCGAATCTGTCTCGTACTCGACAAAGCCCACACCACCGGCAGCACGACGTGCCTCTTTGAATCCGGAGAACTGACTGAACAGCATGGTGAGCATAGCATCTGTGGTCTCCTCGGGCAGATTGTTCACGAAAAGGATATGATTGGGTTGATCCAACAAATTGATCAGATCACCGCCAGTGCCAGCCTGAAAAAATGAGAGGTTCCGTGTGAAGAGTAGACAGCAGAAATACGGACAGAAAATATATATGGACAGTGAGATTTTCCCACTAGACAAGTCAAACGAACCCAGTGGGCCACACAATTTGATTTCCATTGAAATAAAATGCATGCTGATGACCTATATGTATGATTGGATGGTGGTGTAAGAATTACTGAAACTGGTATCTCTAACGTCTACTGTATTTGGTGGTTATTAACCCGACAAATCTGTCTGGCGTCTCGACAGGAGAGTTTCGTCAAAGCAAACCAAGGACATTGATGGACTCTATGACTACTAGTTCTGCTAGCATCCAACATTCAGGAGACCAAGACAGTTATGGGACAAACAAACCACCAAGCACTTTTAGGTATCACAATCCTCCTACGAAATTTTCCTTCTTTTGTATTTTTATACACCATTGTGTGATTAAGAGTAAGAGATGTAAACCACATCGTCACGGGTAGTTAATGTTCACTTATGATGACCAGCAACCCAAATCTTGCTAGTGGCGAAAACCATGGTGTCCCACTAGGTTAGGCGCGGCAATGAGCCGAGGAACAGCGAAGCTGTCAACTACCGACAGCCGATCTGTACGCAGGCTAACGATTGCGAGAACCAATCACGTATATAGTGGTTGTGGTGGCGGAGTGGTTCAGTCGTTGTAACTGGCGTGTTTCGAACCCCGCCACCGCCACCCAACTTTGGTGGCAGGCAGCTTTGTTGTCGTTCGGTTCAATACCCCGCCTAACTTATTGGGGCTTTATATGGTTCACCACTCCAAGTCCCGGGGCTTGTGTCACCGCTTTTCATCACTATGGGGTTCATACCGTCTGTTGTTCATCACACAAATGTTTCTTTAATGCGACTGTATCCCTCAGGTTACCGGACAATATTTTCGGTACAAAGTAACTGTATCAACAGTAGGAGTAAACTCCACCCGAAACTGTCAACGAAAGCCATGATAGCTTAAATGGTAAACCCCATGAAAAGATAACGGTGGCGCGCAGACAGGTAATAGAGAAATTGAACGTGGAAAAGATGGTTTTTGATTGATGTTCAAGTTTTATGATTGGGAGGACCAGTAAGCAATGGCAATCGCGAATGAAGAAAATTGAGCACCACTATCAATATATAATCAACCTAATCAAAAACCATTAGTTTTTTTTCACTTAGATCGAAAAGAACGTTCATTGTGAATAAATTCATGCTGATAATGGCTAATGAATGTGAATGACCTGGGTATCTAACACCAAGAAGGAAACGGTTTTTTGTGGGATGATGCAGTTTCTCCAAGCAGGATCATCAAGATCCGTGGTCGCATTCTGGAAACTATTCTCTGCCTGATTCAGCGCAACTGCAAGATATCATGGAATATTCGGGATTTCTTCAACGGTTCTACTGTCAGTTGCATGAACAGATTGGGTGAGCTGAAACAAACTATTGTACACTGAGCCCAGAGACTGTTTTCTTTTTAATTTTACACCATTACGCGATGACCAATCACGAGCAGTCGTGAAAAGCCGACTTATCGTCTCTTGGGAGTCGATCGCCGTAAAGGTAGGTCATGCAAACCTATTGGGGTCATTTTACCAAACTGGAAATATAAATGCCTACATCGGAAGATGACTGCCGAGTGAGGCGGTTAGGATTCCCTTTCAATGGTCCATATGCATCTATCAAGACTGAGAAAGATAGAATTGAAATAACAAGCACGCAGCAATAGTGAGAGGTGACAACTTACTCCGGCAGCAGCTGCTTGCGGAGCAGTCTGAGCTGCGGCAGCAGCCGCACGACGTTGAGCGGCCTTTCGACGTTTTCGTTTTTCGCGTTCCTCTTCACGACGCTGGTTTGCCTCGGCGCTGACACCTTTCAGTCGAACTATTTGAGTTGAGTCACGTTTCGCATAGGCAACTCGCATAGGCTGGATGAAAAAAATAAAGACCACGTAGAAGACAACCTGGTGATAGTCAAAAAGATCAACTCGGAACTTCGTCAAAGGAGATTGATGAAAAAGATCGTCTCAATAAATCAGAACAGTTCATATCACAAGATATCAAATGTAAGAAGGAAGGAATACTTAGGTGATTATTGATTGAGCAGAAGGTGAGGAGTGGTGCAATAAAAAAACTGACAAGGAGTAAAATTATCATCTACTTCAACGAAGGATTGTTCGCATGCAATCCAACAATCCAAATCATTGAACAGACCGGCAGAACTGTAACGTGGATTTTGATTTCACAAAAGGAGTCTCTCTGTAGTTCACAAGTGTTGTGTCAATTTATTTCAAGTCAATTCAATCATACTGTTGCGTATTCTATTTTTAGGAATAGATGATGAGTGGCTGGGGTCCTATGTCACACAGTTCACCTTGTAGTCATCAACAATTTGCATTAATCCACAAACTTGTTTCAGGTGTGTGGTTCAGACGTCTACCACAGCACCGTCTGATGTTCAACCTACCAATCGGTCACTTGCAAGGACATCTCCTAGCATCTCCTGACCACATGAATGATGCACAAGGTGGTTTTGATAGCGAATATTGTACACAAAAGACCAAACGTGCTTTAACTATATTCCGGAACACGGGTATAGCGGTCTACGAGACCTTTTGTAAGTGCCTCGTTGGGTGACCAATGTTCTATTAATCTCCGGCTCATTGTAAACACTGCTTTATCGTGTCGAAGACAGACAAGGATTACATCTTAGCTGTGTTCGAAAATACACAACGACCATAGATTAACTGTTCACCGAAACAGCGGTTATTCATTTCGTGTAGCAGACTGTCCAACGACATAAATAAAACTAGTGGTCAACAAGGTTTTTGCTCGAGGAACTGGTGCTATAGTGACACCCAATTGGTTCGTCGCATCCGACTGGTGAAAAAAAGCCAGTTAGAATTCATATGAGAAACAGTGACAGTCAGAATTAGTGTGCCACATCAAATATATGTAATGTGCATTCCTCAAATGCGGAACACATTGACGTCTGTGGTAAAAGATAGTTTTCTGTTTTTAAACGCATTATGGTTGCTCTTTGATTGACCGTTTCTCTCTTCCTGAAAATTGTATAATTATATAATCAATATGGGGAAGTGAAACAAATAGAAAAAATGTAGATCGTAGCTACGCCGAAAGGAAATAAAGAAATGAAAACTCAGACAAGCGGCTGACGGAGACAATGAGAAGACTGTGATATCAGGACAAACAGCAACGGGAAGATGTCTGAAGAGAACAATAAAGGAAACTTGTGAAGCAAGAGCTGTGAAAACGGAGTACTCAACCGCTTCGCAGGTAAGTGGCACGTGCTAATAATTTACCGTTCAGCGAGAATTTTCTTACTATTCCATCGTCCGATCCACGCAAGTAGCTTGAAACAGGAAACTCGAGGTATACCCGATTGGGTCAAGGGTATTCGTTTATTTCAATTTAAAGTAGTTTGCCCAAACCCACAATGGGACAGTAGATCTCCGTAACCAAGAGATTTACTTAGCTCAGCGTTTATTACACTGCAGCGCGTAATGTCAAAATCGACTGGTAAATTGATCCGGTTGGTGAAGTGCATTTCGGGAGAAAGTACCTCAACCACTAGTTTCGAATGCAATGGAGAAAAAGATCACAAAGTAAAATTAAATGCCCTTTTACGGTGAACGCATTAGCATCGAGCGTAAAACGGCAATTGTAAACGATTATAAAAACCTACAATGAGAACGTAAATGTTAAAATCAGTCTAAAATGGGTTACTGTTAAATAATTGGACTCCATACTGTGGTCTAGCAATCACTTACACGCTGAAAAAGATGAAACCCCTGCAGGGAACGTAACGCGTTGGTGGCAGACTGAATATCGTGGTAAATGATAAAGGCCTGACCACGCATTTTCATCGTTTTCATGGCAATTATGTCCAAAATGCGACCATGCTGTCCGAAAAGGTAATACAAGGCTTTTCGTAGGTCCAATTTCTTCACCTTATCATTCAAATTGTTCACGTACAGCGTGTGGTTGGGACGTATATCCATGTCACAATATCCGTGGAGGCTAAAATGAATTTTTGTATACAACAGTGAGTAACTGAAAGATTCGATTGTGCTTGTACTTATAACCCTTCTTACAAATGAAATTCTGGCATCCGATTATTCGAATCCGGAAGTTGAAATGAACTGGAATCTATTTCAAGTTGCATTAACATTCAATATTAATCGACCTCTTTCCGAATTGAACGTGAAATTACCGATCCACAAAACCACGGGAAGGAAAATAATAGATGAACGTCCTAAATGAACCCATACCTTTTTCCACGGCTCATCAAGCGGTTAAACCGAGGCCGTCGTGTAGTAAGGTGAACATTGCAGAACGTTAACAATTGACGAGGCCATGAAGCGATGCAAGCCGCTGTCACTGGTGCACCGAGTACCAATATTCAGGGCTTGAAATGTGCCCGCCGCCCAAACCAAGAAGTAAGCAGTTTCACTATAGCTTGACCTAATATCAGGTCTATCCATTTGAAGCTTCCTATGGTTGGTTATTTTACTTTCCGCTGTTCAAAGTGCCATTCTTCGGCATTAAACAAATGATCTTCATAGATTCAAACATTTTATTTCCCTATAAAAAACGATGTACCAAAAAGAACCCGAGGTTCCCACCCAAAATCCTTACGTAGTCTATACGACCCACTCTGGTAAACAGGAAAACAAATTCACTTTGAAGAATTAACCACCCAGGTGAACATTTCAAACTGCGGGAGGGTGGAAAATATAGTTTTTGCTAACCTCAAAAGTCGGCTTCCGAGGTTCGAATGTATATACCAGTGCAAAACCTTCACATTGTTGGTAACGTTGTATCACAGATGTGGGCGAACCTGCAAGTAGTACCATTCAAGAGTCAATAGGTTATTTGCCTTCTAAATAAGACAACCATAATGCTGAACCGACTGATGGGACTTGTATAACTAAACCCCTTGTTGTTAAAAAAGGAAAGACAATACCCAAATCACTAGAGAACAACGATCGACAAAGGACCACATGGTTTGTTCAACTGTATTCGATCAGAAATCAACACACAGCATCTACATGACCCATAAATGACGAAAGTGCAAAAAATCTCAGCTCCCTACCTCCTTCAAAAAGACAACTTGAAGTTCAACCACGAGGTTCACATTGCGCGGCTAGCAGCTTGCAAAGGATAGTAGCTAAACCAGCCCAAAGGAGGGCTGTTCACCTCCCCGGACAACCACAACCCGCTTATGAGATTGATTCGTTGTTCCTTCTTCTTCTTCTTCGGAGAAATCAGGAGAATTCAGTCCCGAAACTATGATAAGTGAATGTGGCTGAGCTGCCTCTCGAAATAAATTAGCTCTGACTGACTGGATTTGGATGGAGCAATACCAACCACTAGTAGTACTCCAACTGCTGTAATATTTGAAAACCCCAACTA